GGAGTGCGTGAACGGAAGCAAAATTTTGCAAACGGTGCTGTTCGTGACCCGAATTGGTCGTGAACAGAAGTGTTTGTGACCCGAGGTACCACTGTATTATCAAGCAGCCCAGTTGACATATGCTTTTTATAATGGAGAATTCAACAAAACAATGGGTTGAGATGGAAAATAATTGACTTCCAGGGTAAGAATTTAAATTTGTCTCTTCTCTCACAAGTAAAGCTTTGGTGAGATAAAAAAATAAATAAAGGACTTCGGTGGTGGAGGGCAGGGCAGAGTCCAGGGCAGCAGGGGTGGCAGAGGGCAGGGCAGCCAAAAGGGCAGAGATTGGGGGGAAATGGGAGGAGTTGAAGCAGAGGTGAGTGTGGCAGGGCAAGAGAAGTGATGTTTTGCCTAATGACTGCATCACTTAGCGATGGAAATTCCAGTCCCAATTAGGGTCATTAAGCGATCACTAACTGTAAGACTTTTGGAAGAATGGGTTTAAACAAATGTCTTACATAACTAAACAAAAGGTTATAACATTAAAAAAAAAATTCCCCTCACCCCTATGGGTGGTACGTGTCTTCAGGTCCCCTACCAGAGGCCTGGGAGTTTGAGGGTTCTGCGCAGGATCTTAGCTGTTCCTAGCCCTGCACTCTTCTGGACAGAGAGCTATGATGTTGCTCCTGGGATCCGCTGGGGCCACTCCCTCAGCTTAGGAGTCCCAGCCCCGAGTGCTCCTACCACTACTGGGACTACTTTGCCCTTGACTTTCCACATCCTCTCTAGTTCTTCCTTCAGGCCCTGGTCCTTCTCCAGCTTCCCATGCTCCTTCTTCCTGATGTTGCTGTCATTTGGCACCGCTACATCTATCACTACCACTGTCTTCTGGTCTTTGTCTACTACCACGATGTCTGGTTAATTGGCCAGTACCTGCCTGTCCATATGGATCTGGAAGCCCCACATGACCTTAGCCCTGTTATTCTCCACGATCTTCTGTGGCATCTCCCATCTGGAGTTGGGGGGGTCTAGCCCATACACTGAGCTCTTCCACTTCCTTGTATTAATAACGTGGTCAGTTTGGTTTCTGTGGACTCCGTCTGGTGATGTCTATGTACATAGGTGACATTTTGTTTGTTGGAAGACTGTGTTAGCAATGAAGAAAGTATTGGATTGACAGAAATTGATAAGTTCTCTTGCTTCATGTTGGTTTCTTAGGCCCTACATTTTTCTCCTTAATGTTTCTAACTT